TGCATCGGCAGGTGGACTCTCAACCACTGCGCCACCAGGGAAGCCCCAGAACCCAAAATATTTTAATGAGCTGAATTTCATGTTGGGAGGAGCCCAAGCACATGGCACCAAGTGGCCGCCATCATCGCCAGCCTCCCCCACAGGGTGCTCCGCCTTATGCGGGTTCTCCAAGACACGCTCCCTTGGCAGTGTCCTTGCCTTTGTCCCAAAGCTCCCTGGACCTCCTCAGCAGCCGCTGCCATCCAGGGGCACTGTTCAGGCAGCCAGGACTGGCTCAGGGAATCCCAGTGTTTCCCCACCCTCATGCCCAAAAAAGCGTGTGTCTGTATGAATGTGTTCTCTAGTCACTTATCTCTGAGGTCTCATTGAATCCCACGAACACCTTTTATGGTAGCAGGAAGGAAGTTTATCTCCCCATTATACAGAGGAAGAGCCCGAGGCTTGGAAGGCTGAAGTGATTACCAAGATCATGCAGATGGCAGGTGTGGCAGCCAAGACTAGGACTCTGACCAGCCCCTCCAGACTCACGGTCCAGTTGGGTTGGGTCAGCCTCATCCTCTTCTGCCACCAAGTATCCCATGCCCTAAAATCCATCCATGTGTTCAATAATTTGTTTGACACTCATGTGTGGAGTGCCTGCTGTGTGCCGAGCACTTTCTTGGGCACTGGAGATATAGTGGTGAGCAGAGCGGGCAGTATCCTTGCCTTCACGGAGCCTCCACCTCATTCCTAATTCTCTCCCCTCCCCTTCAATCCCCAAACACACAGGATTCTTTTTCCCCAATTGTCATGGTTATAAAATCAGTATGTGCTAATTATACTAAGCTGGAAAATGCAGATAAGCAAAAATGAGATTAAAATACCATATCCTACCACCCAGAGATAGACTGTCACTCCTTAGTCGTATATATCCTTCTCGATAGTTTTCTATTATTTCTGTATGTTAACCTACATGTCATTTTCTTGTACTTGCTGGTTTGTTTGTTTTTTGGGGTTTTTTTTTGCGGTACACGGGCCTCTCACTGCTGTGGCCTCTCCCGTTGCGGAGCACAGGCTCCGGATGCGCAGGCTCAGCGGCCATGGCTCACGGGCCCAGCCGCTCCGCGGCATGTGGGATCCTCCCGGACCGGGGCACGGACCCGTGTCCCCTGCATCGGCAGGCGGACTCTCAACCACAGTGCCACCAGGGAAGCCCTACTTGCTGTTTTATAACCTGCTTTTCTCAGCTTATGATCTCTGCCCCCTCCTTGTCAAAACATTCATCTCATCTATAGTACCCATCCATACTCAAATTTGGTAATCCCCCAAGTGTTCTTTTCTAGCTGTTTTCATCCCAACCAGGATCCAGTCCAAGACACACTTGGTGTCTGGTTGTCATGTTCCTCACATCGACTTTAACCCTTCCCTCGAGGTTCAGCAACGTGGCTGGGGTGCCTGAGATCCAGGAACTGAAGAGGGCCGCAGAGCTGAGGTCCAAGCTGCGGACCGTGAGTGAGGCTGGGGTTGGTGAGGGGCTGTCAGGCGCAGAGCGGGGTGCGGGGAGGCTTCCCATTGGAGCCTCCAGCTGAGGCCCCCATGGGGGTCTGCCTTTGTGTCCCGCAGTTGGCTGAGGTCCTCTCCAGATGTTCCCATAATATCACAGAGACCAAGATGACCCTGAGCAACCTGAGCTCTGAGCTGATGAAGAACCGGGATCAGGTACATGCGGACAGAAGGTCTGTGGGATTTTCTTCTTGGTGCGGGGGTTTGGGGGGTGCACAGAGCACAGAAGGCCCAGTAGCCTCCTTAGGAGTCAGCCTGCCTTCTCCCTTATCTTGGCAAGGATGCTGGGGCCTGGGGCTAGGGGTAGGGGATCCAGGAATGTACAAGACCCTCCCATGAGACTGGCCAGAAGGAGAGAAGGATCTGGGGTCCCGCCTCCACCTGGGAGTTAGGGAGTGAATTACAAATATTAGCAGGTGCAATAGCTCTAAATAAAAGAATAATTGAGTTCTCTACCTCTTCTGAACCCTTGCTCTGCGTCAGACCCTCGAATAGGTCATCCTACTTCTATCATTTAATCCTCAAAACAATAACGATACTACTACTCTTATGCTCCTTTTATAGGTGAGGAAGCTCACTCAGGGAGCTTAGTTTGCCCCGAGACACAAGGCAATAAATGACAAATGACAGACAGACGTAAGCCTCCGGGTCAGGTCTGCCTACCTCCAAAGCCTACGTGCTTGGCCTGCGCCAGGGATTTTCGAGCTCTGAATCCCCAGTCTCCCTTTAAACAGACAGAAAAATCCCCAGCACCCCTGCCCTCACAGCCCGGTGTGTGGAACCCCCGCCTCCCACTCTGCTCTGACCTGGACGTGGTCCGGCTCCTCAAACAGCCCCACACCCCCCGCAGTCAGCGCCCTCGCAGATCCGCACGCCCGGGTCCTCAGTTCTGAATTCAGAAAGCTCTGAAAACCACAGGGTGTTTCTTCGCTGTTTTGGCTGTAAAGCCTGACCTCAACTGACACGATGCCCTTCCTAGTCTTTATTTATCTCACTTAGGGTGAATATTCTTACAGCTCTCTGAAGACTGAGGGTATGTGATGAGGGAGTACTGCCCCAGACCATGCCCTCTGAGGGAATTCCACAGTATAGTGCATGTATACTGGACCACCTTTCTCAAATCAGAAGATAGTTCTGAATTTGGAACACATCTGGCTCAAGCCCTTTGGATGAAGACTGGACCTGGGGTCTTGTCCACCCCAGGTGCCAGGAGGGCAGGAGTCTGGGGTCCGCAGAGTCCTGGGAACACGCTTGGGCTCTGCCCCGAGTCCAGCTTCAGAAATAGCTGAGACAGGGTCCTGGGAGGAGCTGCAGGGAAGTGGAGCTAAATAGGCCCGAGGTTGAGGGATAAACCCCACCCACAAACACCCCCCCCCCCCCCGACATCTCAGACAAAGTGTTTGTATCTTGAAAAGGGGAAGGAAGAAACGATAATGACCTTAAACCCCAGGCCAAGAGGGTAGAGAGGTCATGTCCCGAATTCCCCTGCCTGCAGGCAGGACCAAAGACCTTGATTCATTCTTGTTTTAAACAAGGGTTGTTGATTCATGATTGCCGTCCCTTCTATGTACCAGGCATTGGGTATTCTCAGAAAGCACGACTTCTGCCCTTGCCAGGTGACAGAAGAGAAGTTCCTATTCTGCTCCCACACGCAGCTGCCACCACCAGGCTCTCCTGTTTCAGGGTCCAAGGCTCCTTCCCGGAGCCTGTTCTCAAGCCCTGTTGTGTAGCAAAGTCCACTTTCCTGTCGCCTGTCCTGCTCGGCTTCTTCCTCTGTGTGTGTGTGTGTGTGTGTGTGTGTGTGTGTGTGTGTGTGTGTGAAAGAGAGAATAAACACGGGAATGAGAGGTGACTGGATGGCTAACCCGAGGGTACCTCAAACAAGTTTAGAAACAGAAGAGTCACCCCCACTCCCAGATTGGCCCCCAAAACTATGGCAATGAGGCTCCTATTGCAGGGAGACAGCTTCCCTCCTCCCACCGCCATCCCTTCCCCTCCCTCACCCTTTACCTGTGCTGTTTGATTCTTCCATCACCTGGCCCCTGTCTCGTGCCCACAGCATCCAGCAGATTCAGTGCTGTTTGGACAAGATGTATCTCATTTACGAACAGTTCAAGAAATCCAGGATGAGGCCAGGTGAGCCACAGGGAGAGCAAAACACTCCTCATGCTCTCCCCTCCCTCCCCGCTTCCTTCCCTTGGGTTAGCTGGCTGTCCCTAACACTCCATCCAATGGCACTGCTGGAGGCCCACTACTCGGGTGGCGCTCCGTGGTGCCTGGGTGCCGCTGGTCTAGGGCAAGGTCGCTGCCTGCAGGCTGCCTGCACACCGGTGAGGGACATGAAGCCTTTCCACCTTTGCCTGTTGCCACATCGGGGCTCAGCGGATGCCTGGATGCTATAGACGTGGTGGCCTTGAAAGAGACCCCTCACCTTTGCAGGGCACTTTACAGTTTAAGGAGTGTTTCCCTATCAGTTGTGACTTTGGCTCACTGAAGTGTTAGTCAGGCTTTCCAGAAAAGGGAGGATCGGCAGAAATACCATA